TGGAGATCATAAACACATCTTCTCAAAGCCCTCTTTTAATATGTAATAATGCATTGAAAATATATTTTTCTATTTGAAATATTGCCAACAGTCCTTACCATTCACTCGTAGATCAATTGAGTAGGTAGAAACAACTTAATAAATCTATATAATTACACAATATCACCATTTTCAGAAAAAACTGAGGAAATTCGGAATAAAAGTTGGCGATGTTTTTACAGTGTTTTTAAACACTTGTTATGACTGTACCTTTGCTACACGAATTAAATAGATGAAAATTAAAGACATTCTGACAATTTTACTTAGTGTTTTCCCAAGATGATTAAATATAAAAGCATTGTTTACCAATTGGGAAAAAATACTGCCAAATTGGGAAAAATTGGACTTATTTTCAATTGGGAATGGGGCCGAATTTCAGCCCCTGAGAAGGTACTGATAAATCCCTGATTTATTAATTTTCTTTTATTTCCGTAAACAGTGTCAAAACTCTGCTCGCCGAGTGCAAAAGTCGACTTTCTTGTCTAGTCTAACTTTCAAGATAAATTTGTTGTAAAGTAAATAAAACTAATCTTTTAGTATATAATATAATTAAAACTAATTTGATATTGTATATTTAACAAGTAATCAAAACTAATTATATAAAAATATATATATATATTGTATACGCAGCTAGGTTTAGGACTCCCATACTTACATCAGCCTATATGCAGAGCTTCTGGAAATCGATTATGACGTCACAATGAAACTGAACAAATAAATCCTAAATACTAATGTTTTCTTTTTCATACACACTCAAATACAGTCTTTTCTCATAACATGATAAATATTGTAAACATAAATTGATGTGTAACTTATCATGTCATAATAACACTATTTGAATGTAGAATTTAAGCCATCTTGACCTTCCTGCACTGACTAAGATGACGTCACACCCTAGTTTGACAGACAGTTTCTCTGTACTTGAGGCGTAGATCAAGCTATTATTGTAGCTTGTAAATATCAAATTAAAATAAGTGTGATCTGACCAAAACTAAGTCATATTTTTGAATGTATTAATCAATATTTTATAGTCTAATTAGGCCTAAAAAAAATTGTTTGCTTCCTGTAACATTCCCAAAAAATCAAGGGTCGGTAGGTCGGGATTTTTTTTTTTTTTTTTTTTTTTTTTTTTTTTTGCTTATGGATAATAGGGTCAAACATCCCCAGACTGAATTAACCAGGTGTTATATTTAAAGTGGACACCCAAAATGGCTGCTTAGCGGCAGAGAACGAAATTCTAAAAGTTGTGGGTGGAAATTGTTGTTACAATAATGATTACTCTTTATATTCAAGGTAAATGTTGACTAGGATGACATATTTTATATCTCAAATAAAGCTACAATTAATATTTTTTGAATAAATGGAATCAGCTGATCGATCGAACCAAAGAGCAAATGCAGATTTGGCAGAAAAAAAAAAATCCGCCGGGGGATAATTTGAATGGGTCGGTCGGGTTACAGGAAACAAACTTATTTTTTTTTTAGGCCTTAAATTGAAAATGTGTAGACCTCATATAAAGCCACAGTAAGGCACATTTATACATTAACTATCTAGAATAACAGGCACAGCCCCTTGAAAATCTCAAAAGTTCAACGATATCTGCTTCACTATAATTTATGAATTTTTATACGCCCGTCTTTAGACGGAACGTATTATGTTATGGCGTTCATGTCCATCTGTCTGTCTGTCTGTTAGCCTTTCTCGTGTCCGGCTCATAACTTTAATACTATTAGGCCTAGGATTATCAAACTTTGTCAGCTGATACTTCTTTGGTAGAAGGTGTGTCACGCACTAAAAGTAGGTCGTTCTGACCTTTAATTAAGATGCTATGGCCAAATATGGAAAAATCCTGTCCGGCTCATAACTAGAAAACTATTAGACTTATAATCATCAAACTTGGCCAGTTTATGCATCTTAGGTAGAAGGTGTGTCGCGACCTATTTCAAGGTCACTGTGACCTTTAATTTAAGTGAAATTTTTAAAAAAAAAACTGTCTTTTTACTATTAAATTACACAATCCCAAAAAATGTAGAAGTGTTGCAGTATCCTTATCAAAAAGATGTTAAAATCAAGAAATACTTATTTTTTTCATTATATACTTTACAGCAATCTATAACAAATATAATGTTACAAGAGAAATTCCACCTCTCCCATGGGTGTAATTATCAAGCACTGGTCAAGGAGAATTTTGATAACAGAAAATTGCATGTCAAATTAGCGAGAAATTAGTTTAGTGTGAGGAGCTAACTGGTAGAGCATCTCTGATCAAGCAGGTGTTATCTATATCTCTTGGGAAATGGGCAGAGGAATCAGCCATGTTGGATTAAATAGTTTTTTGTGGGCTAGCCTAACTTTTAAAATGAATTTGGTGAAAAGTAATTAAAACTAATTTGATACAATAATTGTATAATAAACTAATTTGATATTGTATAATAAACTAATAGATAGTCCCTACAAATCTAAGAGTCATTGACAAGCAGAAACCTTATTAAAAATGTTGCATCAAGATTACAATTTTTTTTTTCTTTTTATAAATCTTTGTAACAAATTGAAAAAAAAAAATCTTTGTTTTCAAATTTAATTTCAGAATGACATAAATATTCATTTTAATTGCACTACAAAGCAGATAGCACAGATCCATTCATCCCTTGGGAGTAATGAGTGGACATGCATCCAGTTAAAGATTAATTAATGAGTTCAGTGTAGGAAGGCTAGCTGTTCTCAATCATTTCTGTTAGAGCATCTCTGATCAAGCAGTTCTTATCTGTATCCTTTGGGAATTAGACAGAAGAACTGCTGGTCAGTTTATAGCATATGTCATTTGATGGCCAGTCTTTTATTTTAAAATTAAATTGGTATAGATTAAGTTGTTAAGACTAAATTGATTTTGTTTAATATGATATTTTTATATAATTTTTTGAAAATATCAACTAGTAAATTTCAGAGCATCATGTCTCACAAATATGAAAGATGTGTGTGTGTGTCACTGTGTGTGTGTGTGTGTGTGTGGGGGGGGGGGGGGTGCAGATGGGCATTTGTCAAGCTCTAACACTACCAGTTGAGGATCTATAATGTAATATTTGTTATAATGCCTACACCACAGGAAATGTATAAACAAAAATTGTAAGAAATGGAAAAATCTTGGAAATCCTTGTATCAAGGTTGACTTTATTTTCTTGCACTCTAAACTGTTCGTGATAATTGAACAATATTTGACGGGTGTATCATGCTGGGGCACTTTATTATACAAAGGTAGTAACATCCCTACTACTTTGAAAAGTGCCAGGAGCTGGTTGTGCGCTGTTGCTTTTTTCCGTATTTTACCATTATTTCAATGCATATTATGTCAATGTAGGAAGTTTATCAAAAATTTTACATAATTCTCAGGCATGGGGAAGTTGCTCCCAGCACTTTTCAGGTTAAGGAATTTGTCTTAAAGAAAACAAAATTAATTTCATAGTGAAAAGATATCCGTATATCGTTGTACTTTATGATCTTTGTAGCCATACATACTTTTTGTAATTTTAAACATGTCACTTGACAAACAGCTGATGTAAGTAAAGTTGCTTTGGCCGAACTCGGCAAAGACCTCATATATATGAGGGTTGTCCCAGAAAACACAAACTTTTTGTATATTTCAGAAACTATTTGACCAGAACTAATAATTTTTTGCAAGTTGTTGGAAAATGATATTTTCAGTATTATGACAAAATATTTTAGGCTTGTGATGTCATTAATATGTAAAAACGGCATTTAAAGGGTGTTAAATATCGGTGGTCTGCACACTGCAGTTTATTGACTTTTAAAAGTAGCATTGTCAATGAATTTTTCTTTATTACCAGGCTATACGGAAATATAATGTCACAAACTTTACCTCCATAAATACTCTTCGATCTAGCTGATATACTTGTGTATGAAAATTCATTAATTTGATATCATTAATGACAAATATATGACGTTATATGCCAGAACACTTTTAATTAGATATTGTTAAAAATGGTGACGTTTAGTGATAATTTGGAGCACAAATTATTAAGCAGCACTGTCTTTAAAACGGGATAGGACTCTTGTCCATACGATGAAAGAGATATTAGTGCTGGAAGAGACATTTTGTAGACCAAAAGAAATGAAGACAAGCTGAAAGTCCTGAGCTTTACGTCATAAGCCTAAGCCAAGGCCATCGTTAAACAATGTGAACTGTTAGGTTTATTATCGGAATTGAGAAATTGTCTATTGAAAGAATTAATTCCACAATCTTTTAGCAACACACGCCGTATTTGAGATGCATTACTTGGTAAATAAAATAAAATTAAATACTGTGCCGAATTTATGCTTAAATAAATTAATTTTATCAGAAGCACATTTCCAGAAAAAATTCACAAAAATGTTGATCATGATCTATGCCTATTTTTAACTTTACAGTATTAGTGAAACAAAAGATATTGAAAATGTTCACGTATTTCTGGGACAACCCTCCTACATATGCAAATAGTAGAATTCCCATTAATCAAAACTCATGCTGTAAAAAAAAAATCAACACTATATTTATTTTCTCGGAATATTTTTTGGCGTATTATTTCCTGTGGGCATCCTTAACCTTGCTGCGTTATATTTTTTATTTGGATTTTTATATCTTTACAACAAATTGCAGAGTGTCATGTCTCACTAGGATGACAATTTTTTAGAGTAAAGAATAACATAATTTTCTTGCACTCTAAAATGTGTACGATAATTGAACAATATCATACAGTGGCAGGGATTTTTATTACTCTTGCAAATTGTATGAAACAAAAATTATTTTTGGAAAAATACATTGTGATTCATATATTGTGACTACTATATTGTGATTGTTGCATAAAACCTGTATTGTTCCTGCAGTCCTAATATTTCATCATATATGTTATTATGTTTATATGTAACTTTAAACTTTTTATTTATGGTTTTCATTATCATTTTACAAGCATTGATGCATCTGACAGCTTCCAAAGGCTTGGAAAGTAGGTTAATGATGCAGCTATAGACAACCCCATCTTATGCATGTTATGAGAAGTTAAAAGTGTTTAACAACTACTCCAGGCTTTTTCTTTGCAAGAAGGGATATTGATAGAGGGAAGGAGATCAGATATGACTATGGTGATCCCATGCCCAATGGACAATCTTCCTTGGAGTTCATCACTCATCAGGTAAATATTTAGAATAATGGATTTTCAAATTTGATACGCTGCATCCTCTTTGTAGTGCATTTTTTTTTCAATGTTCTTGAGAGGTCAAGAGATGAAAAATGTTTTACCCAACAGTGTTCCAAGTCACACTTACTTTCAGGTCACTAAATGAGGACCTAAAAAAAATTTTGGCCACCATTTCAGAATATTTCACTTGCCATAATGAAAATATTTTGTGAATAACAATAGTAAAACAAGGAACTAACACCCTGTATGTTTTATGTCTTTACTAAATCAAAGATGTAAGGTATTACTGTGACTATAAACAATTTGCTAGGTTTAAGGAAATATTTTTATTAGTACAACCACCCTTATGGTTGTACAGTACACAGAGGAACACAAGAAGACTGATCCTAGAATTAAAATTTATTCAAAAGAAAATACCAAGTTTGACACTTATTGAGACAGGACTTTGCCAGCTGTTTGTCATGTTTACTTATTATTACATAGTACGTACCTAACCCATTAAACAGTCATTATTAATGCTGCCAAAACACTTAATTAGTTGTAATATGCAAGCAATTGACCAAATGTTTCAATAACAAGGTCAGGTTCTAAAAAGTTTATGATGTTTGGATGCCATTCTGTCAGGGACGTATAGTATAGGTCCGTGGTTCCATCAAACTGTATAAGTAGTCACTATTAAAGCATGCTGTCATAACATTACGACTTGATGATTAATGATTTTTTTTGCGGACAAACAGACAGATGGATGCACAGGGCAAAAACTATATACCCCCGAATCTACGATTACAAGGGCACTAAAATTGATGTTCAGCAGATGCAAGTTTCTGAAGTTTACATCATGTACATTGAAATATATTAATTTGTGAACTTTTTTTCCAAGAATAGGAAAATAGCAATTGGTGAAAATGATGAATTAATTAAATTGATGGGGAAAAAACAACATCTTTTTGTGATCCATATTTTAGATAAGACCAAAAAAATAATCTTGTTTCCTGCTACCAGCCTGAAAAAAAAAAATAGGGTAGGTAGGTAGGAAAATTATTTTATTGTATATTTTCATTTTATTTTTTTTTTCGACAACATGTTAGCATGTTAAATTTCTATTCAAAATGCATCGAAATAGCATACATTAAAGGTATCTGAATGTAGTTGTAGGCATAAATATAATCACAATTAATTTTGTTTTGCACATATATTATAGGAAGCATTTTGGAGGCAAACCCTGTTGCAGCATTTCTACATGTTCCACAGATTGTACAGACTAGTCAGGACCTTGTAAATTCACATGTTCAACAGCTTAGGCAATTTAGTACAGGTATGTGTAACTCTTCTGAAATATAGGAGGAAATTTCAATACAAGACTTGTAGCATAACTTATATTACATTGTCAGTTCTTCTTTGCATGTTCCTTAGAGTGGATTATTGAGGCAGACCCTGATGGAAAACTTGCACATGTTCCACAAACCAGTGAAGACCATTTTGCAGAATATAAACTTTTTCCGCAGATAAGCCAAGACCCTAATGGTGTTCATGTGTGTGTGGTTAATTATTTGCTCTGAAGCTGATATGTGGACTGAATATAAAACTGTCTTTTTCTACAGTTAAGTCCATCTTAATCTGAAAATACTACCGGTACATTTTGAATTATGCTTTATTATGCAGAAAAAAAAATAATTAGTTTCAAATATGAAAAGTCTGTTGATACACTGCTTTGCAATTCCAAAAGTGATAATGTGATAAGTTTTGATGTGAATATGTGACATGTGCCATTATCAATTTTCATAAATAAAATCAAATACAAAGGCCATTCCAATTTAATGTTTTGCTTGTCGGACCCGCACGCTCTTATTTGAACAAAGCTATACAAATAATATTAATTTAAATCTCCTGCACCTGGGAAATTCTGTGCCAGTTTCTGTTTTATTTCCGCTCTATTTTTGATAATTTAAATCTGTTTACTCTACAAATCAGAAAAAAGTAGAAAAAATATAATTGTCACTCAATTTTTTTCATGTTATGCCTAAAAATTTTGCGTACAAAAAAGTAATAATATTATTATTTAATCTCTTGCCCGCTCTTACTTTTTTCACCAGATGTGCGACGAACAAGAAATTAAATTCGCGTGGTGAAATTATGTTTTATTAAAACTCATTTAAAGCTAACTGTCTTATTTTTTGGATTCATGATGTGATCAATCGAGTGGCTTGCGTGATAATTTGCATAAACGCCAAAGGCGTTTATGCATAAAATTATCACGCAAGCCAATCGATTAATCATCATCATGAATCCAAAAAATCTGATAGTTATTCCTTATGTTTACATGCTCCTGATTCTGCAAATTCCCATGCTAATAGCCCCGCTTCTGTCTCTATTTGTCCCGCCCCGCACGTGATTTTTTTTTTAACCACGCCTATCGATGAACTAGTAGATTTATGTAGAAATAAAGTATTTTTACAATTTGTAATTTTATCTCGGACAAAGACATTGGAAATGTAAATATTTATGCAATAAATGATAAATAAAGACTAAACAGTCATGTTCACAAGCCAGAGGTGATAAAATATATATCTATTCTATAGGAAAAAAAGAATTATAAAGTGACATCAATTTTTCAAGTAATGTCTGTCTAGAACCTGTACATCAGATTTCGTATTTTGTGTGATTTTTTGAAGGATTTTTACACTAACAAAGTAAATAAAATCAAATCTTAGTTCTAAAATTTAATAATTTATTTTTAGATTGTCAAAATGCTTGTTAATTATAGTATCAAAGCTTGAATTGTATATCAATATTCTCCAGGAGGTAAATATTTCTATATATTGGTATATTGGTTGTCCCATAGTTTGTGTATAGTTTGTGGGTCATTGTCATATCGGTTCAACCTCTTGGATTGTGGGTCATGGTTATTTATTGTTCTAACATTTTACAATTTTTTTTCTGTAGTTTGTTTATGTATTTTTGTATCATTTGTGTATATGCATACATGTATATGTGGTTTGTGGATTACTGTCATATTTACATGCATGTGTCTGTTCATGGTGGATTGTGGGTCACTGTCATAGATTGTTTGTTCTTGCATTTTTCCTGTAGTTTGTTCATGACTTTTTTATGTCTTTGTGTATAGACATTTGTGTATATGCATACATATATATGAAAATGTTCATGGTTTGTTGATCACTGTCATGTAAATAAGTGTTTGTGTCTGTTCATGGGTTGTGGGTCACTGTCATATATTGTTTGTTCTTACATTTTTCCTGTAGTTTGTTCATGACTTTTTGTGTCTTTGAGTTAAGACATTTGTGTATAGGCATACATATATATAAAAATGTTCATAGTTTGTGGATCACTGTCATATATCACTACTGTAATGATTTTCCTCTTAGATTCCAAAAAATCCCCTGACGTTCCCCTGTCTGTCACTGACATTTTCCTGTCTCCCCCTGACTTTCTCCTATGATCCCCTGTCGTTGTCCCTGACTACCCTGTCTACTCCCTGACGTCCCCTGACTTTGCCCCTGTTACCACTGTCTAACCCCTGATGTCCCCTGACATTCCCTGACGTCCCTGTCAACTCCCTGATGTCCCCTGACTAGGTCCCTGACCACCCTGCCAACCCCCTGTCGTCCCCTGACATTCATTTTGAACAGGAAAAAGGGTTAAAATATATGTTTTGTTGCTATTTACTTGTGAGAAAATCGATACCTTACTCCTAGCAATTTTCAAGTTTTGTGAAAATGTAGATTTAATCATCATCGAATCTTTCAAAATATTATTTTATTGATTGTTATTAGCTTTTCAGAGAAATCTTAATAAGGATAAATGCCGTTACTTAAAAAAAAAAAAAAATACTAATTTATTGCGTCTTGTGCAGCACAAATGGCATGTAAATATATATATATTTATTTATTTATCTGTTTATTTATTTACTTGTTTGTTTATTGATTTTATTAATTCATGTATCTGTTTATTTATTAATTTGTCTGCTTATTTGTTTATTCTTTTTTCTCCATTTATATATTTATTTTTTATTCAAGCTATCTATTTAATTTATTTATTTGTTTTACTTAATTATCAATAAACAAATGGATTTATTTAAAATTTTTATTTATTTATTTTATTTTATTTTATTCAATTATTTTAATTTATTGATTAATTAAATTTAATTCATTTTGCGAAGTTCTTCATATACAGTGTCCGTGTAAAACAAATTTGCTTCAAACTATTTTTTAAACATATTCAAATTACTTTTAATTCTTTTAATTTCATGATGGGTATCAAAATCATCGTCTTACTATACACAATCTGAATCTGGAATTTGTTTTATTGTTCCCTTTTACTTCGGTAAAATGAAAATTTCCTCAAAAACTTGTCACGGTTGTGAAAGAAATAACACCTGCAGAGTGGATACGGTCGTGCTGCCACAGAATAAACAGTGTATAGTGGTCAGTCAAAAGAACAATAGGTGTCTGATTTGTGTACCCAGAGTCACTGGTCAACTATCAACAGCTCGGAACTACTCTCACAGCCATGACAGTTTTTGAGGAACATTTTTAATTTTTTTTACCAAAGTAAAAGAAGCAATAAAACCAATTCCGAATTCCAATTGTGTGTAATAAGACGATTATTTTGATACCCATCATGAAATTAAAAGAATTAAAAGAAATGTAAATATGCTTAAAAGAAACTTTGAAGCATATTTTGTTTTACCTTATGACTGTTTATGCGAAACTCACGAATAAATTGAATAAATAGAATTAATTAATTAAAATAAAATGAATTAAAAACTAAATAAATATATAATATTTATCAATTAATTAATATTTCAATAAGGAAAATATATCTAAAAAGAAATATATGAACAGATTTAATTAATAAATTAGTCAATAAATAAATAAAACAAATAAATAAATACATGTGGATATATAGATAAACATATAAATAAATATAAATATAATTACTTTCCATTCATAACAAGACACAATAAATTTGTAATTCATTCTTTTCAAAGTAACTGGCATTTATTCTCCTTAAAATTTATCTAAAAGCTACATGTAGTAAACTTAAACAATCAAATACAATCATATTAAGAAATAAATTACTCAAGATATTCAAACAAATAACAATTGACTAAATATATATTTTCACAAAACTTAAGAATTGCCAAGAGTAACGTATTTCTCACAAGTAAATAGCAACAAAACATATTTTAACCCTTTTTCCTGGTCAAAATGAATGTCAGGGGACGACAGGGGGTTGGCAGGGTGGTCAGGGACCTAGTCAGGGGACATCAGGGAGTTGACAGGGACGTCAGTGAATGTCAGGGGATATCAGGGGTTAGACAGTGGTAACAGGGGCAAAGTCAGGGGACGTCAGGGAGTAGACAGGGTAGTCAGGGACAACGACAGGGGATCATAGGAGAAAGTCAGGGGGAGACAGGAAAATGTCAGTGACAGACAGGGGAACGTCAGGGGATTTTTTGGAATCTAAGGGGAAAATCATTACAGTAGTGTATATACATGTATGTGTCTGTTCATGGATTGTGGGTCACTGTCATAGATTGTTTGTTCTATCATGGATTGTAGGTCATTGTCATAAGTTGTTTGTTCTAATATTTTGCCTGTAGTTTGTTCATGACCTTTTTGTGTCTTTGGGTTAAGACAGTTGTGTACATGAATACATATATATGAAAATGTTCATGCTTTGTTGATCACTGTCATATATAAGTGTTTGTGTCTGTTCATGGGTTGTGGGTCACTGTCATAGATTGTTTGTTCTAACATTTTTCCTGTAGTTTGTTCATGACTTTTTGTGTCCTTGAGTTAAGACATTTGTGTATATGCATACATATATATAAAAATGTTCATGGTTTGTTGTTCACTGTCATATATACGTGTATGTGTCTGTTCATGGGTTATGGGTCACTGTCATAGAATGTTTGTTGTAATATTTTACCTGTAGTTTGTTCATGACTTTTTTGTGTCATTGAGTTAAGACAGTTGTGTACATGCATACATATATATAAAAATGTTCATGGTTAGTGGATCACTGTCATATATATATAAGTGTTTGTGTCTGTTCATGGATTGTGGGTCACTGTCATATATTGTTTGTTCCATCATTTTTCCTGTAGTTTGTTCATGACTTTTTGTGTCCCCGAGTAAAGACATTTGTGTTTATGCATACATATATGAAAATGTTCATAGTTTGGGGATCACTGTCATATATATACATGTATGTGTCTGTTCATGGATTGTGGGTCACTGTCATAGATTGTTTGTTCTATCATGGATTGTAGGTCATTGTCGTAGGTTGTTTGTTCTCATATTTTGCCTGTAGTTTGTTCATGACTTTTTTTTGTGTCTTTGAGTTAAGACAGTTGTGTACATGAATACATATATATGAAAATGTTCATGGTTTGTTGATCACTGTCATATATAAGTGTTTGTGTCTGTTCATGGGTTGTGGGTCACTGTCATAGATTGTTTGTTCTAACATTTTTCCTGTAGTTTGTTCATGACTTTTTGTGCCTTTGAGTAAAGACATTTGTGTATATGCATACATATATATGAAAATGTTCATGCTTTGTTGAACACTGTCATATATACATGTATGTGTCTGTTCATGGATTGTGGGTCACTGTCATAGAATGTTTGTTCAAAACATTGTAGAAGTTTGGTTATGGCAGTTCAATTATGCATGTGTTTATGGTTTCTTGATCACTGAGTAATCATTACTTTCATAGAATGTGATTCACTGTTTTAAGATTTTTTGTTTTAGAATGTGTCTGATTATGGTTTTTGGATCAGT